TTGTATGTTACAGACAACGTAGTTTGAACTACTTTGCTGTTGCGCATCGGTGTCAGTGAGTGAAATAAACTTTTATTTAATGTTGAAGTAATGAATTTATAGAGATATCGTAGATCGTAGATTGTAGATTATAGATCATATATAGATTTGTTGCCATAAAATGCATTGACTAAAACAAATTAGATCAAACTTATTTAAAGTGTAGATATTTCTTTTCTCTTTTCTTATTTTTTTCATGAGAAAGACAATTTCATGGAAAACTTTACAGTTGATATTTAATTTCCGAAATGTCAGATATTCAGTGCGAGCAAATGCAATTTTCAATATTATATAATTTTTATAAGTTATGCTCTAAATTAACAATAAGACTTTTCAAAAATACATGTACAATTATGCAGAATTTATCTCATTTTTCTGAAGTATATTTAATTCACAAGTTTGTCGTCTTACTGTTAAATTATTGCGATATCTTGATAGTTTACAATTTCGTATCTTACACTAATTTTTTTCCCATTCTACCGCACAATGCGTAAAATTCTTATGAAATTTCGAATTTAAAAAGTGAAGGTAGAAACAAATCAGGTACATGCGAAACTTATCAGGTACATTGCAAACTCAATTCTTGATATTTTTCCGATGGCATTCGTCGATCTTATCATTATTTACAGATTTTAGTCGGTTGACTCGTCGCTCCATTGATCTAGGTTCATCGGCTCGAAAACTGGTCTTATTCGGGTTTCCTTGCTGGTTCTTTACTTTGTCGGGGCAATAAGGTTAGGCAGAACGGGAGGCATCGCATCGGGAGAGATATTAGATAGACGACGGTTCGCCCGAAATCAAGGCGCTCGTTCACCGTCCCCTCCCTTCCCCCACCTGTTCCTAAACAAATTTAATAAAGCCACGATTTCCGTGCCAATTTCAAGCTCAGCAAGAGATTGCCCGCCGTCTTCGAGAGGCAAACGCCGCGCGCCTTAGCTTCTAATCCGATATACACGAGACTAACGATCGGCCAGTTTGATTAACAATAAGTATCATGCGGGCTAATATTTTATAAATTAATTGCAAATTCAAAATCCAAGAAAAAGTTCAGATTTAAATTCCGATATTTAGTTTGTATAATTAATACATGATAATACTTATTAATACATGATAGATTCGGCTTTTAAAAGAGTTTTCGTGCATTAAATTTGAGTCATAAATTGCTTGTCATTAGCATTATTGCTCGAACTTTAAAATAAATATAAACTAAAAATACAATTTATTTATTAATAATTATGAAAAATAATATATATTAAATTTTAAATTGTAATAAATCGCAATCTCTTTTAAAAATTCATCATTAATTTTAGATGCGTATAAAATTGTGAACATTTAGTTTGATTAAAGTTATCAGTATTTTGAGATTTGTCAAAAGCTGATAAAAAGCTACTTCTCGTATTTCTATCGTACTCTCTAATTCGAGAGGATCAATTCTCGAACTCGTATTCCTATTTTCCCGAGTTTCTCCGACTTTTCCACTCACGTCCCGTAACTCTCGCGCACTCCCACAAATTCCCTCGCTCTCACGCGAGAGAACTCGTCTCTTTCTGCAGCACGATTTTACCCGCGCCTTCTTCCAACTGTACAACTATATCACTGTCGGTAGCGTTCTGCCTCGAGTATTATTAGTCTTTGGAGTTAGGGAGTACGCATGGACTCGAATCTCCAGGCTCGCTCGCATGGTTAACTTCCGCAAACAGAAATTACCATTTTATTGGGTGAGTTCTGGCGTCCCCTTACCGCGTCGACCCCTCGGCTACCCCCTTTCTCCAACATCCCCTTTCCCCGTCGAACCCGCCTTTTCTCTCCTTCTCACCCCCGCCGCACTTCACAGCGGCCCCTAACGTAACGATTGGAATACCTAATCGTCCGGGGACCATTCAGCACCATTGTTCCATCGACTTGCCGTTGTTGGTGCCTGTTAACGCCGAATCCTTTCACACCCCGGCGCTGCCCCCGCCGCTGCTTTTTTGCCACCCTCGAAAAAGATGATCGGCTTGCACACGTTCGCTGTCACGTTGCTCGCGCAAACGGAATTTCCGAGTGGCATTTGCATCGAATCGCGTCGCTCGCCGCGTTAAATTCCCAGCCAGGGAGTGTATGGACAGACCGAGGTATAAAGGGCCCGTCTGTGTGTGATTCGTCGCGTTTGTACAATGGGCCTGATCGATGAGTGGAAAAATATATACACGCGAGATAGAGATTTTAAATACGGGAAATCATTTTTTACTTTATTACGTAATTCTTTTTCATTTTTTTTTTTTCGAAATGTTTGTTGAAATTTGGAACATTTTTTTTCGTGTTTAATTGTTTCACTGAAATCCTTTATCCAAGAATAATTTTCTTAATTTTAATATCAAAGACGTAATGAGAATGTTTCTATTTTATTTCAACGGTTATGAAAACAGTTTTAAATGAGTTTTCTATACAAATTTTTGTTTTCTCTCGTAGATAACAAGGGAAATTATTCTTCTAAACAATCGTCAATCTTTGATCGTTCTACTATTGACGGATTTTTCACGTTCTGACAAATCTTCGGTTTTAATTAAACCTGAAGAAAGATGAGCGCTGGCCTTTTACCAACTGTAACTCCCTTTCGCTCCCTCTTTCTTCGCGGAAATGAATTAAGACTTAATTAAAGTCGTTCTTTGATATGTTAATTCTTTCGTAAATATGTGTTATTTTCCGTATGGGAATTAAAATTTCTTAGTATACATCTCACCCCTATTAGACACCGATTGTTACTGGCACGCGAAAAATGTCATCGATTAGTTAAGAAGAAATTAGCTGCGAAATATCAAAGTAAAAATTATGCGACTGATGCAGATATAATAATAATAAATTAAATAAAATGATGACTTTTCTGGGTTAGGAATTAATTATTGTTAAAAATTCTTAAATAATAATGAAAATTAAAATGTGTCGAAGAAAACATGCTTTTTTCCTTTTAATTCCATAGAAAATAATTTAGGAAAAAATTAACAAGTATTTTTGAATAAATTATTGAAGCTATTAACGCCATTTTAAAACTATTTTCTTTGATATATTAAACTTTAGAGTTTAAATTTTATTATTTTTTATATGCATTTCGCTTTAACTGAAGGAATATGTTTTGGATTTAAGGAGAGGAAAATATTAATAATGAGAAGGTAGTAGTAAAAGACTTACCCTTTTATTTTAATATTATCATCGTTTGTATTTTTATTTCAATAAAGGAGGCCCTGTTTTCAAACGATATGGTACGATTAAATATGTACATCGAATTTTATTCTGTCACGCGAGCAGGTATATATACAAATAGACGTTCGGGAAATGACTAACTACGTTTCTTCATCTTCTACGAATTCTCCTTTATGGACCGCGGAGGCTGACCGATATCGCTCGCGAATAATCAGAGCAAACATTTATGAAATATGATATCTGTAAAATCCCAAGTCAAAATATATCAAAATTATTAATGGTATTTATATGACAAAATTAATATGTTGAGTTTTAATTAATATTTTGATAAAAATTAATGTTATATATATATATATATTTAAAAATATATAGAATAAAATATACTCTCACCGGAAGCGATTAGCAACAAATTCATAGAAAAATTTCATAACTTTGATATTTGGAAAAAGATATCTTGCAGCTTACGATTTTACACACCTTAATTGAATCATATTTCATATTAATTGTTAAATCTTGATCCTCCTCCGCGCTCTTCGGAATTTACATACCGTGACGGCATCTAGATAATATGCACAATTCTTTGCCTTAACGTATTAATACTGCAGAATATTGTTTATGTCAAAATGTCATTTTTCTCTCTTTCTCTCTCTCTCTCTCTCTCTCAACACCATTTGCCTCTTTACTCTATATTCTACAAGAGATATTTCGCTAACTCGCCGATCGACCATCGGTTTCGTCGTCGATCTCGAAGAGATTTTCAAAAGACCAATCGACTTTCGGTTTAAGTTTAATAAACGTTTAAACAAACGTTTTGGTTACGCGCATTTCGCTATGAAGGTTGAATGCAACTTGCCTCGTATATCGCGAGAAAATATTCGGCCGACGAGTGCGAATCTCGGAAACATCTTGCGTCCAATGTTACCTCGATTTGATCGGCGCTATCGAGTTTATTGATTCTTCAAGATATTTGTTATCGTGCAATGTCCTTTTTCACTTTTATCGCTTCGAACGGATGATACTATTACTCTGTACGTAGGATATTCCGTAATAGGCGTATTTGTCGAGCAAATCGATATTCCTTGTTGAAAATTGAAACGATTTTTTTTCTATTCTCTTTTTCCTTTTATTACTTTTTATTCATTTAGAGGGAATTGAAATTTTTTTTCCTTTTACGTTCAGTGCAAAGTTAGATATTTCTATGTGAAATATTTAAATTATCACTTTACATGCACTATCTAAATAGATAATTGATAAATAGCAAAAAAGTGCTATTTATTAGATTTCTAAATAGCTTACGTACTTAGTGATAATTCAAACATTTCATACATTTTTAAATTGCGGTATTAGTTTATTAATATCTGTTTACATATTTAATGGACACGTGAAATATATTTATGAAATTATTTTCAAAAAATATCGTTTACTAAGATTTCTCTCTTCATCATGTTTAATTATTGCGTAATATGAAGTATGTATACCGAGTATCATTTTCTTTATTTTATGTCGCGTACATTTGCAATTTTATAAAACATTCAATCACATACATATATTATTGAATTAGTTAACAATCTATCTAGAAACAAACTTAATTTTAAAATATTCTCCTGGGACGATTAGTGTATATCAGCACAATTGTCTGCATTATATTGCTATGTAGAAATAGATAATATACATATATTATAATGTCTCTTTTGACAATAAAGTATACAAATGATGTCTTTCTTTCTCGAGCTAAATATTTACGTTTCTTTCATGTATTTTATAATTATTTATATATCATTTTGTATTTATTTTATTTTTAATTTTCATAAATGTTTCATATATTTCTCTCTGTAGTAATATTTTCTTCTCGAACGTTCTTTGAAAGAGAATTTAAAGTGAAACTCGGTATACAATATTTGTAATAAATGATACTTGAAAACGATATAATGGCAAGTTAATAAATAAATTGATTTTCTTCATTTGAACTACATATGTGAAACAAGTTTGCGCGATATAATTTGATTTGCATATTGCACATGCCGACTTAAAGCGAGTCCTGAGCAAATTTTCCACATAATCCATGCAAAACTCATTTTTTCATGTCAAACACGCTTTTTTTCATTGATCGGCTATTTTTAGCGACTTTCTTGACTTTGTCAGAGTTATCAAAAAACATCACAAATAACACAAATTTCCGATAAACATCTTAATCTCGCGGATGTTCGATTTCTAATTGAAATCATTTCACAAGGAATACTTTGATGATCGGCCCACTTTCAGTCACGAACACAAGCTCATTTGCTCATAGATACTTCTCAATTTTATCACACTGATAGTCTCCATAATTATTGAAGATATCTATATAAGCGCCGATCATCGATTATTGCAAGATTTGTCTCTCTTTGACGATCTAAAATGTTCACCAGAGTGAATGTTAGTTTATTTTTCTTTGGTAACTATACCAAGAACAAGATCTTTTTGAAACGGAACGATAGGCTTTCTCTCGCGAGATCTCTTGTACTTTCACGTCACGTCTAGCTCCATTTCGTCGGCGATCTTTCCCTATGACGGAACGAGCTCTCTCGCTCTCGTCGGTCGACATACCGCTCTCACTGCTCAGGCGATTCTTCTCGGGGTCTGGAATGTCTGGGCTGGAAGGGTTGCTGCTCGCTTGCTCGTCACGCTGTCACGAGGCCGGCAGCAGTGAGCGTCCCTGGCGAACCTTCTTCGGTTAACCTTCAGACCATCTGTAGACCTTTGGTGATGCTCTCGACGTGTTCCTTGGCCCGCATCCTGAGTGCCTGGATGCTCGATGTGCGAGGATCGTGGCCCGGCGGACTCGGCGGTGGTGGTTGAACGTGACCGCCGGCGCTTATGCTCGCCATGCTGCCGGCTAGCGATCCTGCGAACAGTGCAATTCCTACGTCTCGTTGGCTATGCACAATCACAATCATCGATGGCGAATTCAATAATACAGATTAATGTCGATTAAGCTTCTTTAATCTCGCGAAAATTCTCGTTTCGAGACATTCGTTTACCTCGAAACAACGATTCTACGAAATGTCACTATAATGAGTAGAGTATCGTAATGCTCTATAAGCTGATAATTAATCTTTTCAAACTGTTTTCTTCTCATTCCAAAAGAGATTTACATTTATTTTCCTGATTTTGTTTTTACTTTATTCTCGCGGTTCTTTATTTTATTTTATTTTTATAACGTCATGTGTCCTGATCAAATGTGCATATATATATATATATATATATATATATATATATATTGCTGAACGTGTTATTTTTTTAATCGTTAAACGCTTTCGACAAAAACATATAAATAGAAAATATTGATTGTTACCTGGAACGGGATTGGTCACGGCGCCGACATTTGGCGGTGACGGTAATCGCCTAGGAGACGTTAGATAACTGGGATATCCCGTGTGAGGCGCAGCTAGGAAACCGGGAAGCGCACTGAGCAATCCTGGCGGCGCGAGCCAAGGATCTCCCGGTAGACCTAAAGCCGGACCGGCAACATTCCTGAAACAAAATATTTCCACATGCGCGATATAATATTTCTTGCCAAAATTTATACGACATCGCGATTCTATTAATAGAAAATATTTAAACATGACAAACCTCATATTAGCAGCATGATGGTACTCGCTCAAACCCAGTCTCGCGGCTTCCATTTTTTCCTGTCTACGCCACTTGGCTCGTCTATTTTGAAACCAGACCTGAAACATAACAACAATTTTTCTTTATTCGATCGATCGAAATATTAACAACGGAAATATAAGCGTACTTATAAATTTGATTCGAATATCAAATAAGTCCCTTATTACCCCTTCCTGCTGTTAACCGATAAGTGATAATATTAGCCGTGTTGTTCAACGTTTTGTGAGCTTAATTTTGCAAATTTATTAAGTCCGCGTTTGGCTCGACGTAAGTCAAGAACAACGTCGGCACAAACTCTCATTAGCCGCCGAGACACGATAATGGTAACGTGTCACTACCGTATACTTGAGGAAAAGGGCACCCTCCTTTCTTCCCATTCTTCCTTCGATCTCTATATAACAGACTCGCGAGACATCACTTTTGACTTTGACAAAATATTCGATTTTTGCTTCGAGTTACTATTACAAAAGATTTTCTCATATTATTATTATAATTAATTTTTTTTTTTAATTGAACTGTATATTGAATAATCTTCTATAAACATTTTTATTTCGATATATATAGTAGCCGTTTGTAAAATCAATTTCTTTATAAAGTATCAATCTTTAGATTGACGTTTTATAAAAAGTCCCAGTTTTTTGTAAAAATAATTGAATTTACAAAGAGTATGCGATATATATTTTATCTCATTACTATTATTTTAATTTGATTATTTCTCCATATGACAGTAGTTTTAAATATAATTACACATACAAATATGAAAGAAGAGAAGAGGAGAAAAGACTCGAAGAAAACTGTAAGAGATATTATTGACAGTGTCTTTCAAGATTCCTTGATAAAATAATTTATCGTGCCTATAATTTATATAAGATTCGACACAAAACTTTGATGAAAGTTACTTAAAATCCCAAGGTCGCATTCCCCAAAAATTGACATTGGCATTTTCAGTCAAATTAGACGAGTCTCGAAAGTCCCTAAGAAGGGTCGTTCCCCATAAACCGGTCAACTGCGAAAGCATCTAACCGCGATAAAGCAAGCCAGAAGTGCGCAAAACAGTAAGTCAGAGCAAAAAGAGTAAGCAAGAAGAGAGAGAGAGACTCCGAGGGTTTGGTAGAAAATGGAGTTCCTTTAGCGGGGAGCGATGATGCGGAGGGCGAGAAAAGTGGCTGCCAAGACTCTCTCTCTCTCTTTCCCTGTCTTTCTCGATCTCTGCCTCAAAAGGAGGGTTGCAGAAATGTCTCTTTGGGCGGGTCTCCCAGGTCCACCCCTGAAAGCGGCGTTGGCTAAGAAAAGGGGGGAGGGGGCAAGAAGCAGAATCGGGGCGAGAAAGATCGGAGGGTGAGACGGGGTTCACCCTTCCATCGGTATTAAGAGGGTAACGAGCCTGTGGGGCGAAATCGAAAGTGAGCGAGCGACGCGGCGTGACGTGACTCCCAGTGCGCCTTCAAGGAGTGGACCCCGAAGAATGGAAGCGAAACGTAGGAGGGATGAGGAGGGAAGGGAAGAGGCACCCCGGGACGGTTCGGCCATGTTGATTTCTTTATTGTAACATGGCTGCTGTTGGCAGCTCGCTTAAGTCTATTGCGTTAAGAGCCGATGCTATCGGTCTCGGCTTATGAATTATTCAGTTCCCGTCGCGCCGGGTTATAAGGCCCACCGGGTGTCGTCCGTAACGAATTTACACGCGGCAGCGAGGTGAGCGAGATCCATCGTCGATCGATGATTCGACGCTCTTACCTCGGACAAATAATGCTGAGCAATCGTTTGCAACTTCTCCACTCGACGACGAATAATCGTTCGGTAACTAACGGACTAATGATTAAGGGCGGATTCTCTGGCCAATTTGGAGACGATTTTTCCTTAGCAAAAATGTTGACAAGTCAATAATTTTCGAGTTCTTCAGTTAATTTCAGGTAGAGTTTACTATAATAAAATTTTAATTCGAGGCTTAGTTATAAAGATATATAATGACAATAATTGGAAAGTTGTAAAAAATTATGACCTTTTTCGCCATTTTTGCTGAGGAAAAATCGTTCCCAAATTGACCAAAGAATCCACTTGTAATCGTTGGTCCGTTAGTTACCGGATACCCTGTATATATAGTTGTCGAGATTTCTAATGAGAAATATTGATTTATTGAAATATGAATTATATTATTAAGGGTTTAACAAGGCTCTGTAATATAAATATAAATTTAAAGTGTCAAACAGGCAATAAGAGCCAAATCGCGGATGACAGTGCGTTATCCCAACGAAACTAATTTTTTCGTTAGAATTCAAAACCTGTGCACAAGGCACTAAATTTTACTTGGTCACGGCCAAGATTTAAAATTGGAATAATCTCTACTAAAAAGATTTAATTCCATACATCCCCCGTTTTTAATTCTAACGAAAAAATTAGTTTCGTCGGGATAACGCACTGTCATCCGCGATTTGGCTCTTATTGCTTGACACTTTAAATTTATATTATTAAGGATTATCGTCGTGGAAACACATGCATATTATATCGTTTCGCAGCACGAGGCAACGCTACCAAATAAAATTCCGTATTGCTATGCGAAAATACTTTGGAACAACGTAAATCTCATAAGCTTGTTTATTAAAATGGGCAGCGCAGCAAAAATGTCTTTGCGCCTCCGATATAATCGGTGACAAGTATCGCGTTCGGATAACAAGCAACTAGCAAATTGAATGTTACCGTCGGGAATGAGCGGCGGTGAATCGTCAGGACGAGAGAGAAAGAGAGAGAGAGAGAGAATGTGGCAGAGGAAAACGCGGAAACGAAGTGAAACGAAGACGGGGTTAAACCCGTCAGAGGCATCACGGAGGTTTGGGGGGTTGGGGGAGGAAAAGGGGGTACATTGGGGACGCGGAGGAGTGGATATCGGAGCATTCCCGGGCTCATCAGGACGATATTCCGCTCTCGAGGACGAGAAGCAATTTTCTTTCCCGGCTCCGTGGATGAGAAAAGGCTACACGGACAAGATGCCACGCCGAAATGATGGGAAAATAAGCGAATTTCCCTTCGTATCTCTCTTATATCTATATCTATATATATATATATATATATCCTTTTCCATCTCGTTCCGTTTTTTGCCTTCCCTTCTCGTCGCTCCTTTTTCCTACTCTCTCTCTTTCTCTCTCTCTTTCTCTTGGGAGTTCCGCGTCTTACCATAATGCTCCGTCTTCGTTCACCGAGAACTGAACTCGCGCGCTCCTTCTCGCTTTTCTCGCGGAAATATAAAGAACAGGGCTAACGCGGCTTAATCTTTTTAGGTCGTAAATTTATTAGAGCAGGTACTTCCACCTTTTCCGCCCGCCCCCGCCTTCTTCTTATCCTTCTCTTTTGCTTTCTCTTTCTCTCGAGTCCTCTTCTCCTTCCCTGACCCGACCAGCCGGCGACTCGCGACGATCCTCGGCAATGATATTGCGAAGGTAAACTCGCTTAGACGGTTTAAATGCAAGAAAATTGAAATAAAATGGAAGTAATTCCGAGATTAAAATTGGACGTCGTTCCGTTGTCGCTGAGAAGCGGCGACGACACTTTTTCGAGCTCTCTCCCTCTCCCACGCTGGTCTTTAATGCCCCGTTCCCGCTTTAGCGTGTTTGTCTTTGTGAGATTTTACGTAGCTCTCGTTGGAGAAACTTCGTCATGCCGGAGTTGCATAATTCGCAAGATTTCGCTGAAAGGTTGACACGCGGATGAGAGGGCTAATTATCATTATCGCGTTAATGCGCAAGTAACATAAGGGAAAAGCAGTCGTTCGACGTAATCGGTGAAAGAATGTGACTGCACATTTCGCGCAATTAATATAAAAAGTCATTATATACAAGTAATGTAGTTTCGAAAATATAACAATATATCGCGTGAAAATCCAAGGAAAATTTGGAATATAAAGTAAAATGACAAGAGCAACACATTTATATATATATGAAAAAATATTTTCTTTCAAAATAAATTTCCATTTAATAAACTATCTTGCTATTTTTTTTACGTTAGCGCACTTGCGTGCTATTTCGTTGCCATGTTGTTACCCATACATGAGTGCATACGAAATATGACATCTATGCAAAATATATGAATGTATGGATGATGTGTTTCCGGTGACTGCGCGGCAACAGCTTTCGCTCTCTTTGTAACATACGGTGACGAGCACTCAACGAGAACAAGAAGCGTATCGCGCCGAAAATCACTCCCGAACTCTATCTATCGTACAATTTTTTTTCCTTTTACACTGCACAACGCACGCGCACGCATACGACCATCTCTCATTTTCCTTCGTCTCTCTCTCTCTCTCTCTCTCTCTTCCTCTCGCTCTGATGGAACACATCGTTCCGGGACGATGGTCGCTTTATACTCTCACGGCGGCTCTCGCCGAATTCGGATTAGCGCCGGCAAAAAGGTATTCGAGGTGCTCACGCCACGTCGAGTTCATTGTTGCCGACCCGAGTATTAACAGATTTCGGCCATTGTTCGCCGCGGTGGTGGCCTGCGAGGTTTTTTTAAAAGAGTCGCGTTGATGCGCGCGAAGGCGCCGGGCGTGATACATCGTGACGACATCGAGGGGGATGGGATTTTTGATATTCTTTGGGCGAAATCAAGAGGTCCGGCGAAAAAATCACACGCTATTCTTTTAATTGTAACGCCATTAACGGCGTTGGCGATGGACGGAATCAAATATTCGAGAGAGAAGATAATTCTTACATTGCTATAATAAAACGGAATATAACAAGTAATATAACGTGTACGTTACATGTAACATCCAGGTTAGTTGTAATTTCCCACTCATAGATGTAACATTTTAATATAACATATATTACATTGTAGTTATATACCAAATAGCACATTGATGTATCGATAAGTCAGTGCTATCTTGGGATATAATGACAATATAACTACAATGTAATATATGTAATATTAAAAATGTTACATCTATGAGTGGGAAATTACAACTAACATATACGTTACATGTAACATGCTTAAGTATATAACATTTATATACTGTGTTTGCTGGGAGGGATCGAAGAAAAAATTACTAGATGATAAGTAAAAAAATCAA